TCAAGGCTCGTTTGATGTCCCACGCACTCCCATATGCCTCTGAGTGACACTACTGCCGATACTGATCCGAGTAGTCTTGCCTGCGCCGTTACATTGCGATTAGATGTTAAAGAGAGCAAGCTGTAGATCTACTTTAGTATAGAGAGTTTAAGAAGTGCGTTATTAAGGCATCACGCGTTGTAGTGTTGACGTTGGCGCGTTAGTGGGGAGTGAGCGACTCGCTTGGGTGAGCGACTCGCTTGTGAACCACGTTAGTCGTAATATATACTATACGCTTAATCACGTGATGCTACACCACAATATATAGTAAGTAGAGGGATAGGAGTTAAGTAATAGATAATTTAAACGCTAAGCTACTATAAATAGTATAAGAGTAACTCTCTAGGTTAAACCATGTTGATAGTTTTTAAATAGTGAAAGTACTCTGTAATGGTAGATCACGAGAGCTGAAGCCTACACCGACAGTAATGCTACCTGCAGGAATTGTCCACTTCTGCGAAGTGACATTCCAATAACTCACATCACGCCGCGCTAAGTTGAATAGCACAGATTTGGACTCGTTAGGGTTCAGAAGGATCTTCTCGAAGCCTCGTAAACTGCGCACTGGCATTCCCGCCTCACTCGGATACGAGAGATAGAGTTGAGGGACAGCAGCTCCCCGCTTTGGACCCGTGTTAGTGACGGTAACCTCAACTGTTACCAGAGTCGCCCAAAGCTCCACATTGCCACCGGGATGTATTGGTGCATTGGGATCCGGAGTACGCGAGGCGTTAGCTACCACAATCTGAGTCTTTGGATTTGAAACCTCAAAGGTGGTGTAGCTGAGCCCAAAGCCGAAGGGGAATGCGACACTCTTATTCTCGGCATCGAATTCCTTGTAGTCTATCAAATTACCTTCTACAAAATCTGCTTGCCAGGCAACAGGTTTATTCGTATCTTGCAAAGTCGTGCTGTTCTCGATGTTGTGTCGATAATCCATCTCGTTGTTCGCAATGGTATATGGAAGCTTGCCAGATGGATTCACGTCTCCCCAAAGAATGTCGACGATGGATTTGCCTGTTTCCTCTCCAGGCATGTGAGCTACAAGGATAGCGGTAATGTTTGCGTTATTTCGCCAGGGCATGGTATTCGGTGATGCACCGTGAAGAACAACAACCGTGTTGTTACATACACTAGTGACACGTTCCACAACCGTTGTGGAATTCCACTCTGGGATCAAAGTCGTGCGGTCGGAGCCTTCGCTAGCCCACGACTTAAGGAAGACGATGCAGACGTCTATTGGTACTGGTGCTAACGATGACAGCCCAATCTGTGAGATGAACTTGTTATCCATAATGTACTGGACATGAGCGCCATACGACTGTCCCCGAGATTTTATGGCGTCAAGTGGAGGGCTGATCTGGTAGAAACGCCCAGTGCCACTGCCACCACCAACAGGAAGAGTTCCAATGTCGAAATCATCACTGTAGTACTGACCAGTGGTGAGATCCGCAGCATCGTTTCCGAAGACAGCAATCTTCATTGGCTGCTGAAGTGGCAGTGTGTTGTTGGTATTCTTCAAAAGGACAGTACCTGCAGCACCCAATTCTCTAATCAGCTGAGTGGATGCTGCGCTCCGAACGTTTACCTCGGGGCCATAGGTGTAGTTGTAGAGGTAAGCTGACTCTGGGTAAAAGTTCAGCTTTGGCGTATAAGCATCGATACGAGGATAGTTGTTGTCTTGACCGAGATAGTAATATGGCGTCATGATGCGAAGAATCATATCATCGAGTCGTCCAAGGGCGAGGGAACCATTATTCCTGTTATCATAATTAGCCAAAACAAGACTCCAAGATTTCGCGTAAGCCGTACACTGCCATGGTAACATTGGCACCAAAGTAAGTTGGCGTCCCAGATGTGAAACCGATGCCTCCGGGCATGTCCATGTCAAGTCCAGCTTCAATCGCCGCGACACCAGTATGAGTCGCAAGCCAATCAGACATTACATAACCCTGGAATCCAAGCTCTTCCTTCAACAGGCCGTTGAGTGTCTTGGAGTTTTGGCATCCATAGCTTAACTTGTTATCAGCGGGAAACCATCACCGAGGATCCCATGATACTCACCTTCCGTTGATACGGTTGTAGGAGCACATCACAGACGCAGATCCGGCTCTAACTGCGTTCGCAAAAGGCCAGAGATATGTCTCGTGCATAGTCTTCTTGAATTAGCAGGCTTCGAGATTTGTGTAGACAATGCTTACCTTGTCATCGACATTCGAGCTAACAGCTTCGATAGTAACACCGTTCTCGCTCACGGAGGGATTTCTCTGTGTCTCTTGCTCATTCAAGATGAAGTGCTTGACGCAGGCTTGAACTCCTACGCTCTGCATGCCTTCAATCGTATCTTCGACAAGTGCACCAGAAAGGTAGGAATCTGGGCTAAAACCCTCCCAGTTGCGGCCTCCGAAGGGTGAACGGCCTAGCGGTCCAACAACCGGCCCGAGGGCTACATGCGAGCCCTTTCCGCGGAACTCACTAGCCATATGGACCCCACGTTCCCGAGCGAGTGAACGGTCCCATGAAGCAGCGACAGTGAGGCCGGCAGGAAACACAGATGCATCGATAGCTTGGCGGATAGCGAGAGGGCCATCTTGAAGACATAGGCCGCTGAAATTGAGGCGAGGTATCGGGCTGATGTTTCCCACGCAAGGACCCGGGGTACCTGTTAATGACAGATTAGCAGTCCGCCCGATTGTGGGTCTGTGTGTAGTATTAACGTACCAGTCACCATCTGAGCCTTTTCTTCAAGATTTAGGTTGCTCAGGAACGTCTTTGCCTTGCTCAATGCTGCTTCCCATCCCCCAATTCCTGTGATGTTTGCTGAGAGAACTTTAGTTTTTATACAACGAGAGGGACAAACAGCCAACTTACGAGAAGGATACACCGCTGGACTACCTCCGTATTGACTATAATTTCCATACTGAGCACTCTTGGACTGTGCGCCCGCGAGTGCGACGAAGGAGAGTATCAAAGAACCTTGCATCATGTTGACATGAAGATATCATAAACACATGCATCTTGCTTCTCTTTTGTACCTACGACAACCCCCATTCCCACCTTACGAACATACGCTAGTTTACACCGGGTCTTCGACCGGGATAGACTTTTATCCCCCACATGATCCGATTGCGGGGTAAATAGACCCGAAAAGCCATGGTCATTACGCGTAAACATCTCCAAGGTGCCTCCGTTCCTCGGCAGATATTCGGGAGGCGCTCTGCGGAACGTCACCAAGATGCGGGGAAAAGCCAAGCGTCGAAAAGCTTCCTAGCGTTGGCCCATCATTGAGAGCGTGGAGGAATTAAGGCTTTTAGCCTCGGCGGCTAAGATACAAGCGGCATGGCATACTGACATGTCCTGCAGCGGCCAGGTTTGCGTGCGTGTGCGGAGATGCTCATACCTTGGGGATCATAATTGCATTGGTCCTTTTGTCTCGCTTACTTGTGTAAATGTGGTTTATGAGGGAAGGGCGTTGCGTTGGTACGATTGCGATATCGATAGCGAGGCACATACGTGGATGGCAGGCCATGAACAAGGATCGTGAACGTCACGTGCAACATGGAAAGCAGGAGCACTACTGTGGGTACCGCTCTTGCATGTGCGGAGTATATACTGCCGAGGATCAGGAAAACTGGTGCGTCATTTTCTTGATGCGGGGAAAGGCTGCGACCAAATAGCTACACGAGGTATGTACACTTCCGGATATTACGGGAATAAGATTACGATATCTGCGTTTACACTCGATACACACTCGCTCCAACCAACCAAATGAGCCGAAGTGAACGATTTAAACTTCTTTACCATTCCCATAGTTATTCAAACATCAAAGTACTAATGTCGAAATTTTCAATCGTCCGAGCCTATATGTTCAGCTCAGTATATTAAGCCCAGTCTCGAGCATGCTTCACTCACATTGACCGCCATTACATCTTAATTCTCGTACATAACGTTAAGATCAATCAACAAGCTCATCCCACAGTGGCGGAGCGATTCGGATAAACCAAGAGGTAGCCGTGGACAACACAGATAGAACAGCTGCATTGCATGACTGTGTAGTCTACCAGATGCGAAGACAATGTTATAGTAAACCTTACTTCCCACAGCTAAGGAAAGTGGTTAGGACAAATGCGCAGGGGAACTTCAGATACCACAGTGCCACCAAACTGTCTACGACTCCGTGCGCGCCTTGCACGTGTCTGGGGGACTATAGGTTTCGGTGAATGACGCTGACGCCATGACGTTCAGATGGGGTATTAAGAAGAACGAGAGCTTGAATTACTGGCATTTGCAGGGGTATGCTTGAGGCGATTTGCTGGCATTTTCTTCGGACATCTTACTGGCAAAAATTCGAGTCAAGATGTAGGCGCGACTTGGTCCGTCAAGGGCGGCGTTACCTTAAATCCCGAGGGTCACTTAGCCTTTGCCGCTAGCACGCGATAGTAACCAGCATATTCCCTCTGTGCCGGTTGGCTTCCCACGCCGCCGTGTAGGAACTAGTGCGCGGGATATACGGCAATAGAAAATGCGACATGAATCTGCGAACGTACCGCACTATCGAAGCTTCACGTAACTTAGCGGATTCAGCCTAAGCTTCCCATGCCGATACAGCATCGTTGATTTCTATCCACACCCCACAGCATGACCCCAAGGAACGCGTACCCAGTCAGCTCGCTTACTCGACAGCGTTCTAAAGCTCTTCCCTTGTCAAAGTCTCTTACAATCGTTATCTCACTCTGGACACCACACGATAGATCCACTGAAAGGTTTGACAATCCATCTTTTCTGGACGCAGCGATTAAGTAATTGGTCACTGCGGCGATATTGATAGGCATTGTCTCTTCAGTTACTGGCACTCAACTTCAGTATTGTCGTGGTGACGAGTCTTTGTGGACAGACCGATGGCTTGCACTATCATTTATAGCTTACGCTATCATCTAGTTATATCAGCAAATTTCAAAATTCAAAACGGTTATGCCATGTTTTGCACCGGCTCGAGACGGACATGTCATCGATGTTCGTAGTATACTTAATAGCACAGAATAAAGGGTTAGCCCAGTGCAATGAATATCTGAACACTTAGCTAATACAAGGAGACGTCATTATGAGCATTCGGACGACCGAGTGAGTAGGCATACTGGAATGTAACCTAGAATTTGACTTACAAAAGAGTTCAATAATCACCGCTACACGCCTCAGCAACCAGATGACACGCCAGAACACTGAATTACCAAGACGTAGGTGGAGGGAGACTACCACAATGCCCAATTCGTTTGTTATAGCTGTGAGGCATGTCATTGTAATAGTGCCAACGTAACGTCGAAGAAACAGGGTTGGATATTTCTGAATCAATACAACTATGTCATTTCAACCAGTCACCATAAGAAGCTAATCATTCTACATGCCAACTACGGTGTGTTTTCTAAATGCTGAACAAACAAAAAAGAGCCAATTCTCACAGATTTCAGATATATTTGAACTCGACATAAGAATAAGTCATTAAGTAAATGAAATACCCTCTGAACTGGAGCTGGTTGGCGATGACAGGAAATGAGTTGGTATAGAGTAGGATAGCTTTTAGGATCCGGGCCAGCTTTCTTGTATCTATAGTTTTCTGTCACTATATGTTTTAGTTGTTATGATGTCATTAGGTGTCACTGAAATTTAAAGCGGACATACTAAGGCGTTTAGGATTCATTGAATCATCCAGCTCTCCTTAGTAGCAGTTGCTACTTTGTCATGATAAGAGAAATATATCGGACTTAGAGGCATCTCATCACCGTAAGGATATTCTAGTACCAGTAATAGAGAATGCTCACTTAGCTGATAGATTGTGACTTTAGGTAGTATTCAGATGACACTTAGCACTACACGGCTGGCCTCGATTGTTTTCTACGCCAATGCGTGGTTATTTATATCACGTGCGATATCTCGAACTTGGACGCGCAACTATAGTCACTGTCTGGCATCGCCAATTTGGTACATCGAGCATGTCTAGCGCTTGGATGAACATCCTCCTGTTAGTAGTGGCCTTATTATGCTCATTGACCTTCCTACTACCATAGAAGACGAGGAAGGTCTGGAACAAGGATTTTTGAGAGTAAAGCACGACATGTAACTGTATGATACATTAACAGGAATAGAATAGTTGTATTAAAGGTGGCGTGCACTTTTCCGATTTTTTCAGGATTATGATATCACCGCTGCAGCATTTTTTCGAATAGGCTGTTTGCCTCATTGGACTAGACTATTGCTAGGGTTGCAGCTCTTATATTTGTTTAACCGCACTCCCAGTAGCCTGTTTGTCAGAATGTTAGGATCTGTAAAAGATATTGGACATTGACATGGACCGCAATCCTTACGCCGAAGCGCTCGTTGTGGAGCTTTTCATGTCGCCCTGTAGTGTTTTCGACCATCATCTTACGTTCTCTTTTCTGCACAGCGCTAGAGATTTACGTGGCAGAGAACCTCACCTATAGTCAGGTCCTCTAGTCCTTTATGTGTAACAAGTGCTGCTTATATTTGTTGGCACCCTGCCGCGCACCATAGTGTAGCACACTACTGCGAAAGCGAAGATGGTCAAGGTAGCCGTAGAATGTGTATCAAATGATTATAAAAGTAAGCGGGTACAAGCGCGAGCTGCTTCGGGGCGCATCATCCGTTGGCTTGAAGGATGAAACCCCTGAGTCTTGCTTTGGGATCGAAATTCACCGCTCGCTTTCTTGCGCTGCTCACTTCCATATACGTTACACTCAAGTTGCGGTTGTCTTCCATCAAGGATAAGGGATAAGGGTTTGTTCCAACCCTTATGGGATAAGCCCTGCAGACCAAGCACGCGTCACAAAAATAGAACATAGATTAGTTCTCCATAGAATAACTGCCAGGGAAGAGCAGGCCGGCCTATAGTAGGACAGAGCTTTGACCCAACACTGCGCAAATTGCACTTGTTATGCCGCCTTGACCCGTGCTGTTAGGGTTATGCCTCGACAATGTTCTCCAAGCAGTTGTCCACGTACGGCTGCAAACACTGCCAGCTGTTGGAACCCACCTTTACGAGCGAAGAGTAACATCGTCTTGTGATCTTCCATCGTGTTCAACTAGAGGCGTCTGTCTCCTAACGTAAAAGTATAGTTTATGTAAGGCATAACCTCGGCATAATTGTTTTGTGGAGGCGACATTACTGTTTCTATTTTGAGCAGTGCGCCACTCGACACGATGACCAATCAGAGCTAGGTATCACATCCCACTTTACCTTTTATGGCTACTTGCCAAGGGCCTCGGGTATGCATAGTGGCAATGATGCGTCATTTCCTCCCAAAACGTTCTTAGACCGTCATGGGTGGGGGGCACGCTACAGCCAGTGCTGGCCATTCTAGGGTCATAAAACTGGGGATACAATAATTCATCGCTAGATGAAGTCATAACGTTGCACTTTAGTCGTCGACGCCGAGCGTGGGCACTGTTCAGCCTCGCTGGGTACAAGCTTTCATTGTAACGTGATGTAATAAAAGAGGAGGAAATACGAGAGGGTATTGGTATATATGAGAGATGGGATGCTGCCCTCTGTTGGCCTCTATCCAAACATCAACTCATCAACTCTACACTAATACTTAATCACTACAACTACCACTTTCACACTTCAACAACACCACCTCCAAATCATCAACATGAAGTTCACCACCGCCGCCGCCGTCGCCTCCATGGCCGCCATCTCCTCCGCCCTTCCTCAGGCTTCTACTCCCTTCCCTCGCCCCGAGGCCGGCGACGTCTTCCGTCTAATGTCTCTGCGCACCGGCACTGAAATCCAGTACGGCGACGTCCAGGCCAAGGATGGCAACCTCGTCATCAATTCGCCCGACCAGAACAACAAGACCTGTGCCATCAACGGCGACCGCGAAAACGTCACCAGCGGCATCAACTACGCCTCCTTTACGCTCGACCAGGATGATGGCAGCGTCTACATCTACACATTCAACCCCCCTCTCCAGCTGTACGTCGACCGCAGCGGCATGGGCCAGGGCAACGTCCGCTACTCCACCGGTGTCCAGCCCATCGGCAAGAACCAGGAGCGTGGCCCCTTCAAGATCAACGACGAAGGTGACCTAGTCTTCGCTGCTGGTGGTCTGACCGGCGACGTTGGCTTCCAGGCTTGCCCCGGCGCTGTTGGTGGAGGCTGGAAGATTTGGCTCTCTGGTGTAGACAAGCCTGCTGGTTCTGAGGGATGCACCCCGTTCACCATGAAGGCGCTGAAGGAGACCGAGACCAAGAAGTGCCTCTACTCTTCTGCTCCTGCTTAGATGCTGAGCTGGTAGAGATCTTTGAACTGTACAAATTGACAATCTGAAGACAGGACTTCTGTTTTCTAATGTATATGTATTATTGCGGTTGAGCGTCTGCATAATTTTTCGTTTATGATAACTAGAATTGGAAATGAATACGTTTATCTTTACATTGCGTTCTTATTGTATTTCTTGGTCTGTCATCAAAGTAGGACCAGACTAAGCTGGCGCTCGCATGAGAACCCCCGACTGATCCTTTAGACCACATGTAAGTTATAAATAGGTATCCGTTCCTCCTGTGTTGAGATCACATGAGCGGTCCGCATATGCCGGTACAATTTCAGATGGGCGACTTCGGTCCCCACATGGATATTCGGGTCGGCCGTCTGATGGAGGGATTAAAAGTGAGTCGCAGAGAGGCCCACCAGCAGCTTGGCGCGATCGCCCTTGTACTCTATCACTTTCGCGTCCTTGACGCGCAAAGGACAGGAACGAAGGAAAAGACAGTGCACCTCTTCAGCCTCAGGATTTGCATGTCAACCCCAAGCTGTTTTAGGAACCAGTTGCGGATGTGAACGGAAACGAGCGAGTCAGCCCCGTGTTCATCTATGGTCATATCCGCATTCATCTGGGCAGGATCAAACTGAAGCATGTTGCCCAGGGCGTGAGTACAACTCTTCATCAAAATTGCTAGACCTTCTTTTGGATCCTGGGTGGCCGCCAACTCCACCCCAACTTTGATTTTCTCGTCGGCTTGCTCCTGAATGTTGCCCTCTTCTTGCGCACGTTCTTGCTGAAGGTAGCCTGATAGCCGTGAGTCTTCATCTCTCTGCTTGCCTATCCAGTCGTGGTAAAGAAAATCTCCGAATCATAGAGCAGTGTCTTGCTTCTGAACGGAAAACGTAGCCTAGTCATATTAGGAAACTATTTGGCGATGAAGGAGTCCTGCAATCCGCCACTCCGGCGATTTCGCACGAGGCTTGGCGTATAATGGTTCGCCGCGCTGTAAGCGGACTGGCCATGAGTTCCAAAAATCGACGTTTTGGACGAAAGCATTATGAAAAAGTCCACCGCCTCATCTTCACCGAAGAGCTCATCAAGGTTGCAAGTTCCGGCCACCTTCAATGCTCGCACCGCTTCGAAGTCGTTTCAGAGTGTGTCGACGAAGGGACGGTCCCGAAGTACCATGGCACCATTGACGATACCTCTAATGGACGGTAGAGTCAATTTGATCTCTCTATTTACCTTTTCCAAGCCCTCCTTGCTTGTAATATCTACTGATACAGCGCGTAGCAAAAGTCTCTACTGAGTCATGAATCCGAACACTCCGGCCGGGATGTTGGGATGTTGGCTCGTTGACACGACGTTTCGAGCCCTGTTTTCTACCATCCATCGAGAAATAGAGCTCCCAAGACTACCTTTCATGCCACATCGAATCTAACTCTTATCAGGACCGAACACATCTTTCTGTCCCTTGATACTAGCGTCAGTGGTGACTTGACTGTTGGTCACTCGATCTGTCACCTCGGTGGCTTGGCAGTCTTTGGCTGCGGTCCGAGCATTGAAGCTATGCAGAGGAAGAACTCTGGGAATGAAGAACGCACTGTCTCTGAGTGCAAGAAGGGATTCGTGAGTTCAGAGTATTTCGCTCTAATTGGGCTGATCCGTGATGGTGAGTCTAAGAAGAAGGTTTGCCAGTGGAGAAAGGTCCTCACGCATGGAATATGGTAATCAAATAACGGTGGATAGATTTCTGGTCGGGAAGGGACGAAAGGTCATCCATAGGTTTACAAAAGGTCGATATGTAAATGCCGCTCTCTAATCGCACGAATAGATTGAGAATCGAGACTGCGTCCTCTATCTCTAATACCAAAATATCCGTGACACGAGCTACATGAAAAATAGAGTTTTGATCTTTGATAGCTACAACGAACCTCGAGTCCGTACCATGGCTCGCTCTAATTAAAATATCTTGAAGATAACATTCTTTATCTTGCAGTCCAGTCGGGTTCGAGATCCACAATCGACTACTAAATACTAGACGAAACACTCCTAGTTCCAAGAATTGAAGTTCGTTGTAGTTATATCATAGGAAGAGTAATGAGTGAGTATTTCACGCCAGACTACTTCCGGTTCCAAGTATTGCGGCTCGATGTAAAATACAAGAAAAGTAGCAAGTGATCAAATTATCAACGGCCATTTCCTATTCTTTGTATCGCGGCTCTGTGCATATTTCAAGAACAGTAAAAAGGTAAGCAATTGATTGACGGTCGCTTCGAGTTCTAGGTATTGCGGCTCGATGTATGATCCAAGAAGAGTAACAAGTAAGCAGGAAGTAGCCGATTGCTTCCGGCGCTAGGTGCTAGACCTCCAACGAACCAATCCAAGGCCTCATCACAGCCTGGTTCTCCGCATTGTGACGTTGAGTAATGTAAGTGCTTATTGCTAAGAACTAAGCGTGCAGAATGATTCAACGCCCAGTGACAAGCACAACAGTCCTCTCATGTCGATTCTATCACCGCTCAGAAAACCAATTATTTTGAATCGTCTCATCCTTTACAATAATCATCGCAATTCTTTGCTGTACTTCTGTCAGACTGTGAGGGGTTTTTTTTCTGATCAAGGATTGATTTGGATCACTGTGATAAAAGACTGTGATAATTGATGGAAGAAATTGATAGTA